ATGGGTTATTAGGAGTATTTTCCAATTTTGTTTTTGTGTCTCGTGTTACGTCAAAACCGCCACATGAGGCTGTTGGTTCCTCAATATAGGATCAATATATCCTTGCTATATATTATTTTCTGGAATTACTTAAATCCAATGATTACGGTTTAAGTTATTAGTTCGGAAGATGGGTTATTGGGAGTATTTTCCAATTTTGTTTTTGTGTTTCGTGTTACGTCAAAGCCGCAACATGAGGCTGTTGGTTCCTCAATATAGGATCAATATATCCTTGCGATATATTATTTTCTGGAATCACTTAAATCGAATGATTACGGTTTAAGTTATTAATTCGGAAGATGGGTTATTAGGAGTATTTTCCAATTTTGTTTTTGTGTCTCGTGTTACGTCAAAACCGCCACATGAGGCTGTTGGTTCCTCAATATAGGATCAATATATCCTTGCTATATATTATTTTCTGGAATTACTTAAATCCAATGATTACGGTTTAAGTTATTAGTTCGGAAGATGGGTTATTGGGAGTATTTTCCAATTTTGTTTTTGTGTTTCGTGTTACGTCAAAGCCGCAACATGAGGCTGTTGGTTCCTCAATATAGGATCAATATATCCTTGCGATATATTATTTTCTGGAATCACTTAAATCGAATGATTACGGTTTAAGTTATTAATTCGGAAGATGGGTTATTAGGAGTATTTTCCAATTTTGTTTTTGTGTTTCGTGTTACGTCAAAACCGCAACATGAGGCTGTTGGTTCCTCAATATAGGATCAATATATCCTTGCGATATATTATTTTCTGGAATCACTTAAATCGAATGATTACGGTTTAAGTTATTAATTCGGAAGATGGGTTATTAGGAGTATTTTCCAATTTTGTTTTTGTGTTTCGTGTTACGTCAAAACCGCAACATGAGGCTGTTAGTTCCTTAATATAGGATCGATATATCCTTGCGATATATTATTTTCTGGAATCACTTAAATCGAATGATTACGGTTTAAGTTATCAATTCGGAAGATGGGTTACTAAAAACTAAAAAAACCTCTTCATATGAATTCAAGACATTTATAAAATATTTCCAATTTTGTTTTTGTGCCTCGTGTTACGTCAAAACCGGCACGTGTCACAATGCCAAAAGGACACCACAAAAGGAAATGCTGGGATACAAGTATATTTGTTATCATTATAACAAATTGAACTTTATTAATCAGTGGCTTAATGACACTTCACCGACATCACTTTATTCCTGATCCGGAGGATCACTCCAAAGAGCCCCCGGGCATCATCTAAAAAGTTCTTCCATGACCAATGTGCGTCCGGAACTTTTTAAATCCAAACGCTACCAAACATCGCAGAATAATGTTGAGGTATAAGATATATGCGGAATAATATTAAAAAAAATGATAATAAAACAAAGAATTACGACTTATAAAAAAAAAATACATGGTTCCGTACTTAACCAGGAGAAGGTCCAACCTCCACGACGATCGGAGGAGGACTGATTTCAGTGCTGCTTAACGAAAACAGGTAAACTCGGTAGCTATATATTAAAAGGATAGTTATCGATGAAAACTATCGATATGTTATACGATTAAAGCTATCGCATAAACTCTACCACTTAATATCGCGATTAGTATCGCTCAAGGTGGAAGATAGACAACCGATTAATAATATTCTACGACTATATAAATTTAAAAAACAATAATTTGTTATAGCTCCAAAACAAGTATAAAATTGTTTAATTAATTAAAATTTAAATGGCTGAACTTTCCCTCTTTTTTTTTTGAGAAACACAAAAAGCTCTTGGCATTATGCCTACAATTATTCAATTAAAAAATTGCATCCTCAGAGACATTAAAATCATTTTCCCCGCCTACTTAGCCGCCCACAACTTTTTGGCAAAGAAAATGCACACACAGGCTGACGGGGGTGTGCTGGGGGTTAAGGGTGGGCGTGGCTGACAACAATGTTGGCAGCTGCATGGAAAACTTGTGGAAACTTTTTAAGTGACTTCTAATAGCGAATTATGATGCAGCCGGCGGAGAGGATGAGACAAGGAGCTCCAAAAAAGGAGGCCGGGGCAGGAGGTGGGCGTGGCGAAAAGTTCACGCTTAAAACTTGACAACGATAACTTCATTGAGGAGTGAAAAGTGCGGGAAAATTCCGAGACATAGGAACAGGGAGGGGAAGCGAGAAGCCACACACACACGATGCTATATAGCCTAAGCCCGAAAGTGAGAGAGAAATTTTAACAAAGTTAGTTAGTTTCTTCCTTCCTTCCTTCCTGCTCGTCGTGATGATTTCCAGTGCGTGTGTAGCAAAGGATACACCACAGGAAAATGTCCTTATTTATGACACTAATTTACAAATTTAATACATTATGAAATGGGAATTATAAATGTTGGGTTAATTCTGCTTGGTATTATTTTATATATAAATAGTGTCTTAATATGGGTTTATTATTTGCGTTTTGATGCAAAATACACATTTTATATTATTAAAAATTAGAATTGTATATTTTATTTTTTAACAAATTATATATTATATTTTATAATATTATTTATTCTTTCTTCTTTGAGGGCTTTGGGCATCAAATTTGTACCACCCCTAATTGCGATGGCAAAAATATTTTATTTAATTGCGATGGCAAAATTATGTTATCGATAGGCCAGAGTGGAACCCTTTGTTTACGTTGAACAGCTGATCTTGGTTTGTTTACTTTATAAATTGCAAATTGAATTGAAAAATATTGTACAATATATAAAGTATTTAAAAAATTATTTATAATATTTAAGCACTTTAAATAATATGAAATTTACTATATTTTATTTATTAATAATATCTAAAAGTTCAGAGTTTTCATTGAAAATTAAGCAAATAAATTATAACAAATTGAACTTAATAATCTTTTAGAAGGTTTGAATAAAATTTTTACAAGTAAAACTATTTTTTTGAATATTTAAATGTTTAAAGGTTAAAATTTAAGCAATTTAAATTTAATAAGTGACCCCTCTTCAGAATTATAATTAAAAGTTGTATTCCTTCTAAACTAACAGCTAAAAATTATATAAAAACCCCTTTACTACTTTAAAATAAGCAAATAAATATATATGTATGAGAGCTGCATTTAATATTTTTTTAATTTTTCATTAAATATAATTTCATTTTATATATTCTAGTGCACAAGACTATATAAGTTTATTCAGTGCATTTGTGTGTATGCGACTTGATATAATGACAAAGTGCACTCTGACATTATCATCATCAGTGAACGCATCTTGCCCGCCAGTGTGTGGGCCTGTTTTTCCACCTCCCTGCCTCGGGTTTTCCCTCCACCCACTCCGAGTTTCCCTCCCAGAAAAGTTGCTCGTTTTAATGAATTATGCGTACATTGATAATAATTTCCTGGTTAGCTCCACCTACTCCAACTGACTTCTTGCTCCTTCAGCCAACTTGTTTTTTCGGCAATAACCTAAAGGGGGTGGAGGGTCTCCTTCCCCTTGATTTTCCAACACCACCTGCACCGGCAACCTGCACGGAAAAGCGTGTTGCTGCTGTCTGCACTAATATAAAAGTTTCGTGCACTTTTAATAAGGCTGCGTTTATGACGACAGCAGCGGGAAACAGAACAACCACTGGCAGAGGAAGGGGAGTGAAGGGGGTGGGGAAAATTCAGGAAAATTCCAAGAGAAAAAAGGGCTGATGGATGAGTGGTGGAGTGGAGGTGCCGCGTTGCATCGCTTTTCCTGCCTGCCAGCAACTGCATATGACGACAAGTGTCAAAAAGTCGACGGCGGGAGAAGAAAAGTTTTTGCAGAGACAAAAAGAAAATAGCAGCAGGGGAAAGATTAAAAAAATTAAAAAGAAAAATGTAAAAAACTGGAAAAGAAAATAGAAAAAAAGAGAAGGAAAATATAGCAGGAAAGAAAGCGAAAACGAGGTTGTGGAAGGATTTAAATTAAGGCTCAGGGAAGTATTGTTAATTTGTATTAAATTATAAACAAAGAAAACTATATCTTCCTTAGTGTCGTATATATAAAAATGTATAATGATATAATAAAGAATCTAAAACAAAAAATAAATATTATATCTGAACATAAATATAACAAAAATAAGTATATATAAATTAAAATATATATTCATACATGAAAAACCTTTCTAAGCCTATAAATTTTTCGCGACAAATCAAAGTTTAAAAATCTCATTGCTAAGCCAAAAAATCACTAATTTTAATTCGGAAAGCTGTCCTATGTTAGTTTTTATTAGGTTTATTTATCTGCATACTTAATTACCCATTTTAAAAAATTCAAATTTTGACCTTTTTTTTATGTCAATTTTAACGATGTAACCCCTTAAAAAATGTCAAAAAATTTGAAAAGTTTTGTTTTCCTTCTGAGATGGCTGGATCGACTGGGCTTTTGATTCTGATCAAGAATATATATAATTTATAGTATCGAAAATGAGTCCTTCATTGATTAAAATTGATAAAACCCTCTGCTAGATTCTTGAAATCGATATTTTTTATATGGTATATTTTATTTAACAAATCAAAGTTTAAAAATTGAATAACTTAGACAAAAATTCATGAATTTCAATTCGGAAAGTTTCCCTGTGTTAGTTTTTATTAAATTTATAAACCTGCATACTCAGTTTAAAACTTAAAAAAATTTTAATTTTGCGAAATTTTTTGGACAATTTTAACGATTAAACCCCTTAAAAAAATCGGAAAAAATTTAAAATTTTTGTTTTCTGTCGGAGATGGCTAGATCGACTCGGCTTTTAATGCTGATTAAAAATATATATGATTTATGGGGTCGGAAATAAATTCTTCATTTAATTTCATGCTTCTGACTAAAATTGAATACTTTCAAAGGTATAAAATAATATAAACTATTTATACGAAATTATGGAAAATACATATGTATATAAATGGTATATTGATATACAATATGTTATATATATTTTTAATTAATATATTAAATATATTTATATATAATACATACCCTTTTAAAGCCTCTAAATGTTCTTTAACTTCATCGATCCAATGCAAAAACGAATGAAAATGATGTACTGAAATTATAAGAAAGAAATTATGTATGTTAATACTATTAAATTACTTAAATAGCATATATTTATATTTTAATGTATCATTTATATAGTGAATTTATATATTTCTTTCTTTATATATTAAAACCTTAACTAAATTTGTTTTTTAATTTAAAAACCTCAAGAAAAGCCTGTACAGAAATTATAGAAATTAAATAAATGAATATATATAAATAGTATTTAATATTTATATTTATATATTTAATATTAAAAATATATATTTATTCATTTTGTTATACATACAACCCAATAAAATTTGTTCTCTAACTTTAACAATTTAATAGATATTTTGAAGAGCTTCTTTTGGCAGCGAAATGGCTTCAGTTTTGGTTAAACTTATGGCCAGGAAATATGTATATATGTACCTCCAGGAATTTCCACTCCACCTCCTACTCCTCCTGCTGTTGTAATTGAGTTGTTTTTGCTCTGGTTGTTGCATGTAATTGCATTAAACTTGGCTCAAAGGCTGTCGGCCCTTACAGTGAAGCCTCTGACACATGGCTGGCCACTTAAAGCCAAACGCAAAGTGGACTCAGTCAATGGTATTTTAATAGGGCCTAATGGCCATTTTAATTGCCTTCCCAAGGCCGAATGTGGGTGGGTTTTTTGGAGAGGTGGAGGCGGGGGGTGGATGGTGATAAAACTCACACCCACACACACACACCCATATTAGCAACAGAGAGAGAGAGAGAGAGCAAGACAGCTAGCTTTATCTTTATGAATATCGCGACACTTTATGAAGGCCCCCGAAACGACATTGGCGATAAAAACGTAGGAACGTGTCCAGCGGGAAAATGAGAAAAACTCTGTAGGAGGGAAGGGGGGAAAAACAAGAGGCAGGGTAGAATGGAGCAGACACAGTCACGTATCTGATAGATACGTCTCCAGTAGCCAGACATAGCAGATACGGGATATAGATACACATGACCTGCACTCGGAAATAAAATCGCACACTCAAAACTCAAGATCTCCTCTAATAAAGTTGAACAAAAATGTAAGTAAAGACATGAAATTTGATTAAAAAACAAGAAAAGCAGCTAACTTAGGCACACCGAAGTTTATATACCCTTGCAGATAGAACTTCAATGACTGTGAATCAATACAATTTAAATTATATATATATTTATGTTAAAAAACAATAAAGTAATTCCTGCTTTCATTTTATTCACCTATTCATATTATATTTACAATTTTACATTCACAGGTAAGCATTAATCCCTTTATATCTAACGGATCGTTTGTATGGCACCTATATGAAATAGTAGTCCGATTTTCCTAAAACTTTACACAAAACTGTAGAATACCATTAAATGGCATTAAATAAAATTTGATGAAAATCTGTTGAAAACTGAAAAAGTTATAATTTTTAATTGAATTAATTTCTCTATTGTTCCTATGGGAGCTATATGATATAGTGGTCCGATTTTCCTAAAATTTTACACAAAACTGTAGAATAATATGAAATGGCTATATCTCAAATTTGATCAAATTCAAACCTGAGCGACTAGTTTGCGTAGAAACGGACAGACGGACAGACGGACATGGCTAGATCGACTCGGCTGTTGATGCTGATCAAGAATATATATACTTTATTTGGTCGGTGGTGCCTCCTTCACTGCGTTGCAAACTTCTGACTGAAATTATAATACCCTGCTATGTTTTAAAAGTATATTTTGATTAATTTTCTTTCAGTGCAGGCTGGGCCAGGCTTTTATAGATGGATATGTACTACATGTCTCTCGGTATTCGCGTTCGGTTCCAGTTTATGGATCTCTCAGTCTCAGTTTCGGTTTCGGTTATCTGGGTCGCCTTTCTCCCCTCTTGGATTCTCGGATTTGTCACCTCTTTCCTCCAGGGCTTTTGTTCATCAGACTTCTGTTCTCGTTCTAAAACGCTAAAGCGTTTCTCTCCATTTCTAAATTGATTGAGAGTGACCGCCAAGGCGATTAGCAGTAGAAGGTTTGACACAGTTAGCACCATTTGATTGATGGATCTGTCGGTTTTTTGGTTATGGTTATAATCCAAATGAAAGAAAGCTGCCAAGATTTGTAAGCTTACTGAGATCGATGTGTGTTTTTGTTGTATCTTTCGGTTTCAATCCTATATAGAAGACACGCCCGGTTACGCCTTCTGTTATACAACGGTGGCAGGCATTAATTGGATGTCATCATCGTTGTCACCTTTGGCTGCAAGTTGGAAGCTGCCAAGCTGCACCAGCCTCTGGTCTCTGCAAAATGCAACACAGAGGTGCAACACAGTGGCAAGTTGCAACATTGCAATGACAGAAACAGAGACAGTGGCAGTCTGATCGCACAAAAAGGGGTTTTAATAAGTATTTATAATTACCAATTGTTAAAGATTCTCTCTGCGATAGCTCCAAGCTGGTTTTATTCTTTAAATTTGAGTTATTTTGTTTTAAATGTCACTTGTCTTGTTTAGTGTGAACGTATTTCGATTTAGGGATTTTTTTCGGAAGCTTTAGAAAGGATATTTTAAGTATCCTAATACGTTCACACTGAGCGAGTGAGAGCGGTAGCCTAGAGAATTTTGAAAATGAGCGAGTAGGAACATTTCTAGAGAATTTCAAAAGTTAAACAGAAAGAGACATTAAAATGCCAAGCGTCTTACATTTGACTATTGATTTTAATGTAGATAATTTTTATTATATAAAAAGTAATCATAACTAAGTAATAAAAAACAAATGTGAGATTTGCATGTACATATAATATAAAAATTGTATTTGCAATTGAATATATGGGATCGAATTGTAATTCGATCATAAATAAGCTTAAAATATTTGCATTCTTTGCATCGTTATTTTTCGAGATTTTTATATGACAATTTGTAACCACAAATCAAAGTTTAAAAACTCATAGCTCAGCCAAAAAGTTAGTAATTTTTGTTCGGAAAGCTGTCCTATGTTAGTTTTTATTAGGTTAATAAATTCGCATACTTAATTAACCATTTATACAAAATTCAAATTTTGACCTTTTTTTATGTCAATTTTAACGATGTGAGCCCTTAAAAAATTTCAAAAAATTTTAAAATTTTGATTTTCCCTCTGAGATAGCTAGATCGACTCGGCTCTTTGTACTGATCAAGAATATATATGAATTATAGGGTCGGAAATGACTCCTTCACCGATTAAAATTGATAAAACCCTCTGCTAGATTCTTAAAATCGATATTTTTTATGGTATATTTTATTTAACAAATCAATGTTTAAAAAATGCATAACTTAGTCAAAAATGCATGAATTTCGATTCGAAATGCATTCCTGTGTTAAATTAGATTTATAAATGTGCCTGCTCAGTTTAAAATTAAAAATAAAATTTTGCCTAAATTAAATTTAAAAGATTAAACCCTTTATAAAAATCAGAAAAAATTAGTTTTCTGCCGGAGATGGCTATATCGATTCGTCTCCTAATGCTGATCAAGAATATATATGATTTATGGGGTCGGAAATGAATTCTTTATTTAATTTCATGCTTCTGACTAAAATTGTAATACTTTCAAAGGTATAAAATAATATAAACAATTTATACCAATAATAGAAGATCAATAAGTATTTACATTGTATATTGACATTAAAAATATATAATGCATTCAAATATATATAACAAATATATCTTAATATGTATTATATGTTTATACATACCTTTTTAAGCCTTTAAATATATTCTTTAACTTCATAGATTGACTGCATAAACTCAAGAAAATGATGTACTGAAATTGTAAGAAATAAATTATATATTTATTAATATTATATATATATTAATATAATCGTACAGTATAGTATATATATATTTATTATTATTATTATTACATTTATTATTATTATTATAATTTTTAATTTTATTCTTTAACTGAGTCACCATTTCGTATAAAAGCTGCACCTCCGCCTGTGGCACTAGCACTTGTGGCACACATGGCCACATTGGTGCATCTTGGGGGCAACTCCAACTGGCATCGAAAATAGAAAAAAAAAACTATAGAGAGAAAAAAAAAAACAGTAGCCACTGGTAGCAAGTGGCAAGCAAACCAAATGATGATGATGATAATGATAATGATGACGCTGAGGAGGAGGATCTCAAAGAGCCGAAGACGATTACCGAATTGGTGACGCAATCCGCTTCCTGATTTCCTCATCTCTCCTCTCCTCTCCTAAAAAAATGTGTCTTCTTGCCTAATTATAGATATTTGCCAGCAGAGTTGACAGTGACAGGAAGATTCGCCCTTTTTTCACGATTTTCCACACAGACACAGAGAGATATGTGCCGCCACCTCGTGTCAACTGCAGACTTTGCCACCGACTTGGTCTTGGCCAAAATGGGAAATGACAAAAGGCTTAGACACGGGGGAAGGGGGTTAAAGTGCAGCTCAGAGTTCTCCTGTGTCGTGGAGTGTTAATGGGAAATTGAAAATCCATTTGCTGATTAATTTCTACCCAAAAAAAGAGGGGGGAGAGTAAAAAAAAGGTAAACCAAAACCAAAACGTAGCAGCAGCGCAAGAAAAACATTTACGTAAATGAACTTTTTCCTTCTGTCTGAATGCTGCTGCTGCTGGAAAAGTTTTCCATTTCCCATTTTCCCGTTTTCAGTCGAGTTCGTTGTTTGTTTGCTGTTTGTCGCTTTGCTCTACAAAAAAAGAAAATAGAAAATGTTGGTAAAATGTTTTTGCATTCGGCGCTAGTTTTCTAGTTTTATTTATGTCCTGCATTCATCCTGTCACCTCTACGCCCAGAGCTGGGGAGCATTACCAGAGCTTACCGAGCTTATGGTTTGGATGATATTATCGGTGGGAAAGCCTTAGGAAAAGCAGGGAGAAGTATCTATTGCTATTTTCTTTTAAGATTCTCAGCTATTTGTAGGCCTTAGTTCAGAGATTATTGATAAATATTAATCCTGTTGGTATTTTAAATGTTAATATATAAGTTAAAGGTAAAGAGATTATTTTAAGGTGAAGTGGTAATAAACATACATAAATGTCAACTTTTCCCTCAACTCGGTTCTGCCCTTTCTCCAAAGAGCAATGCATTTTGCAGTAAAGACAATAAATGTGACATTTTCTTATTTTATATTTACTTGTTTTCTTCAATGAAAAGTGTATAAATAATCAGATGGTGCCAATTTCCCATTTTTCGAATTAATAATTCAAACCGAAAACATTTGATTTAAGCCACATTGTCGCGGTTTTGACGTATCACGAAGCCCCACATATGTGGCTCAAAATACTTGATAAATAATACTTAATTAATAATAAATACTTAAAATACTACCCATTGGCACAGTATTGTCTAATCACGAGGCACCACCAGAAGAGATGTCCTTCTCTGAAGTCTTATAATGTAAGGTATGTATTCAAAATTCGAATATTTGTGCTCAAGTTTAAGAATTTTGAAGAGCCCAATGTAATACCGTGACATTTTACGGCATTTGCTTTTTCAACTCAAGCATTTCAAACACTGTAATTATTTTTAAATTCTAAAGGAGCACTGACACACTTGAAGTATTTAAAGAAAATATAAATTACACTAAATTATAAACTAGCCAATGAACTTAAGTGGCCTTAACTTCTAGTTCGCACGCTATTTGCATTGCTTGGGGCTCCTTAATTAAATTAGTTAATAAATTATCTTCAAACCTAAAAAAAGCCCCGGCATACTTCAAGTATTTAAGGAAAATTACACTAAATACTAAACTGAACTTCTCATTTTGGGCAATGCTCTTAAATGGCCTTAACTTCTAATTCACAAATAATCTGCGAAGTTTGCGCCTTTTGTTGCCGAACCCCCAAGGTATTCATAGGTTGGTTTTTTAACCAGAATTTTTTCATTGGAAAACATTTTGGAAGGCGCCTGGGCCCCTTTATTGTGATCCTGGGGCCCAGGACTAATCAGGTGCCGTCACCGTGTCATTAAGCTTGACAATCCACAATTTGTTGCAGTGGAAACAAATATATATGTATGCAACATTTTTCCAGAAATAACGGCTCCAATAGGTTTCAAATTCCTCGGGAACCGCAGATTTCACAATTATTTTTGTATTTATTGGTGATGATTCTTCCACAAATGTCTTGTAACTCTATAGACTTGTGAAAGATTTTTAAATAATTATATATTTTTCGAATGGTTCCCGGGCCCCTTTATAGGGCCCGGGATTATCCCCGGCCCCTTTAACGGCTTTAAATTTTTCTAATGCACACCCATTGGGACAGTATTGAATATTTTTTTATTTATAAGGGGTGGTTAATCTACATATTTCTTGCTCTCCATAGAATTTTCATAATAAGTACGCAGTACCTGAGTACTGCGAATCCCCTTGCAGCATCCGTAAATATTTTAAGTTGACAATCCACAATTTTTTGAAGTGGCAACAAAAATCCACAAATAAAGGCTCCAACAGGTTTCCAATTATTTCCCGGTAACACATTATTATTTTATATGTGCAGTGTTGTCGTATCACGAGGCACTACATAAGTGGATCGAAATACTTAATAAAATATTTGCATTTCAAAAATTTGTTCCTACATTGATAACTTCTTCATGTCTCTTAATGTCGCCCTGCATCCAGGCGATATCTTGTAATCATATACACTTGGCAATTTTATCGCTCTCAATTAAAATTAAAATTCTGCGGAAAGCATGGGTTTCGACTCACACTCAGAGCCAGTAAATTATTAAATATATTCTATAATAATATTAAATAAGAAATGCATGAAGTAAGTAAGCCTTTTTAATGCACATCTTAAAATATAAAATCGGGACCAAGTATTTCTCGTTGTCTCAAATGGGACAAAGGTTGTTCTGTTCAGTGAAATTTTGAGATTTTCTTTTAACCGAACGTGAGTGAGTTTTCTCACTAATTTCCCTTGTCAATTTCTGCCCTTTTACAACAACATTAAACATTCAAAATAATTTACTTTAAATTTTGGACTTCTTAAAATACTAGAAAAGTAGCTCAAGCAACTAGCAAAACATTATTCCCTATCCATGAACAATTTCTTACATATCTCTGTGTGCTGTCCATAGCTCCTCTTCTTCGGCTTTACTCCGGAGGATGTCAGCCGAAAACTTGGATTTATTTTTCAACAAATGAATGAGAAAAGTAACGGAAGGAAATCGGAAAACAAAAACAAGCACACATTTTTTTTGGGGGACTTGATAGTCGCATATCTGCGAATGTCGCCACACCATCTCCTCCTCGGTGCTCATCCCAGGCTCAGGCTCAGACTCTCTGTATGCAAAATGCAAAAGTTTAGCCAGTAAATCTTTGCAAGTGGCACATAAACTTTGCCAAAGAAACTTCTTTTTCTTGCCAGGTTAAAACTTCTTTGGGGGGCAAAGAACGAACAAAAAAAATAAAAAGAAAAATGATACAGTGCCGAGAGAAGTCCGAGGAGCAGGAAAAGCGGGCATCAGGGTGGCATTTGGCATTCAGACAACCGCCAAGGAAACTTTCACAGAGCCAAAGAGCATTGCCAAGAGTCGCACATAGGCCAGGAATTGTGATTTATGGCCCGGCAATGATCTGGCGGAGGAGCCCCGGGGTCCTGCTGGGTGTCAGGCACTCCAGCAGGGAAGTTTTATCGGCTAAACACTGATTGACACACTTGATTGTCGTGATCTCTTCGAAATAAAATGTTCAATTTATGTATAAAATAGAATTAAAATGGCCAATATATTGGTAATTTTTAAACACCCGCGAAAGATCGATTTAGAAGGTTTTTATTTCTTAATTAAATTTCCTAACAAATCAAATTAGCTTTTATGTGTGGCAAAACCTAGTAAAGGCGTTATTTCCGACCCTATAAACCATATATATTAGTGATCAGCATCAATAGACGAATCGATCTAGCCATGTTCTGTGGAAAAATAAATTTTTCCTTATTATTTCAACATTTTTTAACGGGTTACAATTGTCAAAATTTGACAAAAGTATGTAAGTTATAAAATTTTTAAACTCAGTATACAGATTTGTTGGCCCTGTAAAAACTAGCCTAAAAAAGCTTTTCAAATTTAAATGAATACACCTTTGATTTAGTTATGAGATTTTGAAACGATTGTTTTACCCAAAAAATTTGCATATAAAAATTATAAATTTAATATATTTTAAATACAAATATTTTAGCTTTTCTTAATGGTATACAAAAGTTACACCTCCCTATATTATTTATAAATTAATTTTTCAACATATCACTTCTAAAGTTAAGTACTAACTTTAAATACTGAAAGTACTGAAAGTACTGTACTTTCAGTATTTAAAGTAGTCTTAATTCTTTTTTTATCTTTGTGGTTAAAAATTCCACATATATTTTGTTACTCCATTATAATCCAGGTTTCCTAGGTTATTATTACCCATCGGAGCAATTTATAAATGATTCTATTGGAGTGCCCAAAAATATTTTGGTGGCGGTGGAGTGTCAATGATTGATAAGCCTAATGTTGAAATGTAGGAAGATTATTCATTTTTGAAAAGCATTTACATATTGCTACATATTGGATTTGCTATTAAGACTGAAATATTTGAAACACTTTAAATAATTATATTTTTTTATTATTTGTGGTTAAAAATTCCACATATGTCTTGTAACTCCATTATAATCCATGTTTCCTAGGTTATTATTACCCATCGGAGCAATTTATAAATGATTCTATTGGAGTGCCCAGAAATATCCTGGTGGCGGTGGAGTGTGTCTTGATGATTGATAAGCCT